AGGGTGGTTGATGGTCCAGCATTCGCCGAGTCACTGCAACCACTCACTCACTGTCGGGCAGTCGTCTCTTTAAACTCTTCGATTGCTACTATTTTACTTTACTCATTGAATGTTCCACCTTTGTCGAGGACTCTTTACCAGACTGACCGTTTTATCTCATTAATCCCTGTGTTCAATTACTACCATACTGCAGGTCACAACAGCACATTCACTCAACCACCCATTCACCCACAAAATCACTCACTCACTCAACCACCCATTCACCCACAACATCACTCACTCACCACACTGCGGGTCACAACAGCACACTCACTCACTCAACCACCCATTCACCCACACAATCACTCACTCACTCACTCAACCACTCATTCATCCACAACATCACTCACTCATTCAACCACTCATTCACCCACAAAATCACTCACTCACCACACTGCGGGTTACAACAGCACACTCACTCACTCACTCAACCACTCATTCACCCACAACATCACTCACTCACTCAACCACCCATTCACCCACAAAATCACTCACTCACTCACTAAACCACTCATTCACCCACAACATCACTCACTCACTCAACCACTCATTCACCCACAACATCACTCACTCACCACACTGCGGGTCACAACATCTCACTCACTCAACCACTCATTCACCCACAACATCACTCACTCACCACACTGCGGGTCACACTTCTCTCTCTGCTTCTTCGCACTGCTCCGCTTTTGAATTCCCTCCCGTCGTCTCTTTTAATGCTTCAATGAATCGTTCAAAATTGTTTTTGCTGCACAAAAATTCCCGTGTAGCCAGTTACCCAGCCAGCTTGCGAGGGAGATCCGTGCTGCGTCAGCACAGAACGACAGCCTCAGAGTGATCCGTCCAGAGGAGCAGGCAACATCGGGACAGAATGCGTCGGAGGTGCAAGACAAATTTCACGTATAAAGAACAAAGAATAGCAAAATTCATAAAACACGTGTTAAAAAAAATACAAAAAGGTACCAATTAAAACAATACCAACAGGCACATTGCGCCAACAACGAGGAGCAGGATGGAGGTGATGATTAACGGTCGGAGAGGAGCGCCGTGCGGAGCGAACGCGATCGAGAGAATAAAGCAACAACAACAGCCACCGTCAGTCACCGTGGGCACGGCAGACGGCACGAGAGTGCAGCACGCGGATTGCGTGCAGGTGCAGCTATCGAACCGTGCTCCAGGAACTCGAAGTCTTTGGAAACGGTGAGGGCGGTAACGTGGGGCAGCAGCAGCAGCGTGGAGTGTGAAGAGCCGCCCGGTTTGTGTTTTGAGTCAGAACAAAGGAGGCACTCCGCGTGTCCCAGCCGAGAATTTATGGAGTTCGGAGGTCCTTTACATATTTGCCAGATGTGTTTGAAAGGACTTTAAGGGTAAAGACACACCAAGTGATGGTTTCTCCAGGAAGAACAAATTGTAGGTGATACAGAAGTTACCCTAATACAATATGTATGCTCATATTATCTATTGCAATGTTTGTTTCTGGCATCTTTGATGCTTTTGGACATTTTGGCTCGCGCTCAGCAGCTCTGTTAAATAAACCTCCACTTAATTCTAGATTTGAAGCTTTCGCGACTGCAAAGATTCATACTCTTAGTTTTTTCGGTAAAGTCACGTAGGTAAAAAATGAAATTAAAATTAATAAAACTAAGAGTATGAAACCTCCACTTGGCAGCGTGTGGGGTGGCGGGAGAAGCGGGGGGGGGGGGTGTCACTCCGCTTCGCTCTCCCAGAGCCGCGGGGGTCTGCGCTGGGAGTGGCCGTGCGGAGTGGCGGTGCTCTCAGGGATGCAACCCCCCAAAATCAATCGCTGCCCGCCCGCTCGCTCGCCCGCGGTGAGCGCAGGATCGACGTGGAGGGTTGCATTTTTTTGTTGTTGAAAATAATCTCTTGTCAATACCACCACACCGTGATCCAGTGAGAGAGAGAGAGAGAGGGGAAAAACCAAGAAACACAATAAACCGCGCTTCTGAGCGAAACGGATTTTGAATAATTTATCAGTCCCCTCTGAGCTAAGGATGTGAGGACTAGCAGGGCTTAATTTCTCATGGGATATTTTCCGAGTCGCCGGTCGACTTGGGTAGTTACCCAAGCCCTAGCGACATGTGTACCGGATGTGGTGTACCGGGTGGGACTCGCAATCAGGAGGTCGCTTGTTCGTTCTCCGGGCGCGGCTGCTGAAACGACGGAGCAAGTTTCTTAAAATCCACCGTCTCTGTCCACCCAGCCGTGTGAATGGCTGCAGCACAGTGGGTTCTAATACGAGGTCAAGGGGCAGCCCTTCCTTTGCAACGATCGCTCCATTGTCCCTTGCTCAACTGGGTTCTAGAGCCCGAGCTGCAGGGTGCGACGAGAGGTGAGGGACGTGGGGAAGGCCGACGCGGAGTAGAGGCCGCAACCGGGTACCCGATAACCGTACCCTACCCGATACCCGGCTACCCGTACCCGGCCGGGTACGGGTACCCGTTTGCGACCCTGGTGCGGCCGGGTACGGGTACGGGTAGACCGTGAGTCACTGGTGAGTAACTGTTTGTCACTCATTTCCCAACGTCTTGTCTCTTCTCACAATTCAAGTTCCTAGAATCAACCCACCCGTGCCTGCAACATGGCTTCATCCCAGAGGTCGCAATCAGGTACCCGTTTGCGACACTGGTGCGGCCGGGTACGGGTAAGGAATCAAAACCCGTTTGCGACCTCTGACGCGGAGAGGGTCGCAGTCGTCGAGTCGGGGTAGGATGTGACGACGGCGTGCGGATGAGGGTCTCGGTGGCGGTCGGGGTGGGGGAGGTGGCAGACGAGAGAGGAGGCGTGGGCAGAGGGCGAGAGGTCGGGATCGCTAAGTGGCATACAAGAGTTGCCCGTTCCACGCCCGGTGTACTTGTGTGTGAACTCGCGTGGATAATTAAAGAGGAAAAAAACAGAGAATAAGGGGACGTCCATAAATGACGTCACGCACCTAGGGGGGGTGGTCAGACATTTGTGACGATGTGTGACGAGGGGGGGGGGATTGAGAAATGCTGCGTCACATCAAAATGCGCAACTTTAAATACATATAGACAACACGTTCTACTTAATTAAATATACTTTTTAATAAATGTTTTCTCCTACAACATCAGAGTGCAGCACCACATTAAATACGCACTTCAATGACAATAGTTTAAAGCGATTTGAAGCATGTTTTATTTTTGGGGGGGGGGGGGTGGGGCAGAGCTTTGTGATGTCATGTGACGAGGAGGGGTCAATAATCGTCCGAAATCGCGTGACGTAATTTATGGACGGCCCCTAACTTAAAACGATCTTCTCTGTGGAATAATACACATTTAAGTGTGTGGAGCCTTTCTGATCAAATAATTCGTTATTCACGCAAGCAATGGACAATCGGGATGTTTGTATTATTCATCGGAAGTTAATTTTGGGCTTCTTATTACATCTTTGGTGTGGGGTCTACGGTAATGTCATGATGGAGCGAGTGGATAAACGCCTTCAGGGTGATGATACCAGAGAACAAACTGGGATCTGAGTCAACACCGAGCCCTGCGATGCTGTTGACAACCCCAAGTATGTGCGCGTACAAATAAACGCAATGTACAGTACCATTAAAGCTATGTTTAATTTATAAACATTTGAAAAGGCAAACATAAATATTTAAGTCAAGTCCCCCTCTGCCTTTAAAAATATCATTCTATATTTATCTCACAAAAGGCAATGTATGCCGCATGCTTTTCAACATTAGGCAGTGCTGATTTTACCGCTCAACCACCGTCACCATCAGCTACGCTCTATTTACTGCTGGATGAAGGCCTCCCCAGGCCACTACCATCTCTCATAGTCCTGCGATGTCACGGATCACCAAGCAACTGCAAACCAGTTGATTTTTCTCAACAACCGGCAAAGCCCAGCCAAGGGTAACATTCCTACCCCTTGGTGTTTTCGGTAAAGTGTCGTAGGTAAATTTTTTAAAATAAATTTAATCACGACGTTTCAGGCGCAACACAAGCATCCTTATTCAGGTGGGGACAACTTAGCGAAAGCACAACCGCTTAAGAAGGACGCTTATGTCGCGCCCGAAACGTCGTGAATTAATTTATTTACATTTTTTACCCACGAGACTTTACCGAAAAAACCAAGGGGTATGAATCCTTGCAGTCACGAAAACTTCAAATCTAGAATTAAGGGTAACATTCTACATTCCTACGACGGGAGCCAATATACCCATCGGACGGACACTTTTGCACAATTTTCTTTATGGCGTTCGTTTCACCCACACGAGAAGACTGATCATCTGAAACGACCGAGGCGTTTTGCATGAAATTGATTGAAAACAATCAGCCGGAAAGCTGCTTGCGCAGTCTGCAAACTCTATGCAGAGCAGCCGTTCTCAACCCGTGTCGTGGCTCCCGCTGGCCTGTCATGGGGAAGCGCAGCTGCGGCATGGATACCGTGCAGGGAAATGATTGAATGTCCATGGGGAACGTCAGCACCGAGGTGCGGTGACAAATTGCACTAAAACACCACGTGATGCACGCGCCTTACTGACACCAAGTTGACTCGAGACGTGATCTCTCTCCTTGAGTTGTGGTCTTGGTATCCTTGGGGGGGGGGGGCGGGGGCGGTTGGGTGACCTCTGATCTTGACTGGGAGGCCACAACACCGACAATGTTGAGAAGCCAGTGTTTCTTAGTCACTGCCCGGCTCAGGCTCGAATTGAGCCGGCTCAAAGCCATGCACTCAACTTAAGCCGGCTCTGAGCCATGCTGCCAGCCATGTACAAGATATCCCACGAGCTGAGCCACATCTTTGAGAGCAATTAAGCGGCTCGAGGCTGAGCCGATCCGCGACTACGGACACGGTGTCACACGTGAGTGCCCGAGGCTGTGCATCAGAGAGATCGTGACACATTGCCTCCTAACTCCGTGTTGCCCCCCTCCCTCCCCGCAACCCCCCCCCCCCCCCCGGCGTCCGTGCAGCAGCGGCCTGTGCGGCAGTCCCTGAGCGAGGCGCTATGCCGCGAGTCGCACTGGAAGAGCCTGGTTCTCTCCGTGCTCATGTACGGCTGCCTGGGCGCGCTCGCATGGTGCCAGCTGACGCGCGTCACCGTCTTCACGTTCGACGGGCCGTTCCGCGCGGGCCGCCCGCTCGCCTACCAGCACAGCCCGTGCTCCAGCGGCTACGTGTACATCCCCCTCGCCTTCCTGCTCATGCTCTACGTGGTGTACCTCGTGGAGTGTTGGCACTGCTACGCGCGCGGCCAGACGCAGCAGCGCGCCGAGACGGGCGGCGTGTACGAGCGCGTCGAGCGCATGCAGGCGGCCACGCCGTGCATCTGGTGGAAGGCGATCAGCTACCACTACGTGCGGCGCACGCGCCAGGTCACGCGCTACCGCAACGGCGACGCCTACACCACCACGCAGGTCGGCGCGCGCGCACTCACTCGCTCACTCACTCGCGCACTCGCTCACTCACTCGCCCAATCACTGGCGCAATCACTCGCGCACTCACTCGCTCACTCACCCGCGCGCTCACCCGCGCGCTCACTCGCTCGCCCGCTCACTCGTGCTCACTAGCGCGCTCACCCGCGCGCTCACCCGCTTGCTCACCCGCTCGCTCACTCGCGCGCTCACTCGCCCTCTCACTCGCCCGCTCACTCGCGCTCACCCGCGCGCTCACCCGCGCGCTCACTCGCTCGCTCACTCGCCCGCTCACCCGCCCTCTCACCCGCGCGCTCACCCGCCCTCTCACCCGCGCGCTCACCCGCCCGCTCACCCGCCCGCTCACCCGCCCTCTCACCCGCCCGCTCACCCGCCCTCTCACCCGCGCGCTCACCCGCCCGCTCACCCGCCCGCTCACCCGCCCTCTCACCCGCGCGCTCACCCGCCCTCTCACACGCGCGCTCACCCGCCCGCTCACCCGCCCGCTCACCCGCCCTCTCACCCGCGCGCTCACTCGCCCGCTCACTCGTTCACTCACTCGCGCAATCACTCGCCCGCTCACGGACTCGCTCACTCACGGACGCGTGCACTCACGGAGCCGCCGTCCGAGCGTTCTCACCATCATCTCTGTCATGGTTTCCGTTCGTGAAGTCACCCGAAGAGGCTCTAAAATAAATATTGGTGGGGTAGGGGAGGGCGAATGTCCCCTTTTGCCCCCACACCCCCAAGTTTTTTGAGAGCACCAGCTGTCAGCACACCAGAACGGTTGGACACCGCTTTTTAAAGATGAATATAAGCCTGTAAATGAATAATTATTCGATGCACAAAAACACAATTATTACGTCTACTTAAAATTTTTGATGCACGTATTTATGATCCAATTTACCCCTTCAAAATGTTTAGCTTGATGCGCCACTGAAACTTTGTGAAGACTTAACTAAAGGAAGCCTACATAAGGGAACGAATTGGATACCAATAACTTCAGATTAAATATCTTATCTGGCATCAATGAGATACACACACACACACCTTCCACATTGTGAAGAGTGTTTGACAGTCGGCTCTGCACTCTGCACTCGTGTACAGCATCTTGAGCCATCTCTTTCGCGAATCGCTTCAGCAGTTGGGTGAGCGTTTCCGAGTAAGGGCAGCACTAACAAGAGCAACCAAGTACAAACAACAACAACGAGCAAACTAGAAATCACTTTGCACTGTTCATTGAAACGGAAATCAGATCTCCGCTTTAGATATACAATTGTTAATTCTAGATTTGAAGCTTTCGTGACTGCAAGGATTCATACTCTTAGGTTTTTTTCGGTAAAGCGACGTAGGTAAATATAAATAAATACATATTTCTGAATAAATATATTTTTTAATAAATGTAATTATTAACTTATTTTTACCTTCATCACTTATATTTATGAATATATATATTTATTTCTTTATTTTCCCCTTAGTCACTTTACCAAAAAAACCTAAGAGTATACAATTGTTATTTACAAACGCTTAGCCATCGTCATCGTCGTCATGTGTGGAAATCAATGGGTGCGTGGGTTCACGCGTGGGTTGACGCGTGCGCGGCGCATGTCTCTCCCCTCCTCAGGTCTACTACGAGCGCGTTAACACACGAGTGGCCGAGGCCGAGTTCGACTACGTGAACTGCGGCGTCAAGGACATCTCCAAGGGGCTGATGGAGCTGGAGCAGCACCCGGTGACCAAGCTGCGCTTCACCAAGTGCTTCAGCTTCGCCAACGTGGAGTCGGAGAACGCGTACCTCACGCAGCGCGCCCGCTTCTTCACCGAGAACGAGGGCCTCGACGACTACATGGAGGCGCGCGAGGGCATGCACCTCAAGAACGTCGAGTTCAAGGAGTGCGTCGTGGCCTTCTCCGACCCCGAGCGGCCGCCGTGGTACGTGTCGCGCCGCGTCTTCTGGCTGGCGGCCGTCGTGATGCTGTCGTGGCCGCTGCGCGTGCTCATCGAGTTCCGCACGGCCTACGTGCACTACCACGTGGAGAAGCTCTTCGGGCTGGACTACGTGCCCGGCGTGACGCCGTCCGACGAGCCGGCGCCCTGCCGCCGCATCCCGCGCGTCAGCACCGTCGACAGCATCGAGCTCGAGTGGCGCATTCGCTCCAACCGTCAGCTGGTGCCAAGCTACTCCGAGGCGGTGCTCATGACCGTGGGGGCGGCGAGCGCGGCGTGCGGCGCCGGCGGGGGCGCCGGTGGCAGCGCCGGCGCCCTCGCCGCCAGCGGCTCGGGCTTCATCCGGCACTGCGAGCGGTGCCACCGCACGCGCAGCAGCCTCAGCATCTTCTCGCGCGGCGCTTCGCAGAGCAACAGCAATGGCAACACGGCGGCCACCAACACCACCACGTGCGGCTCGCGCTTCTCGTTGGCGGCCAGCCGCTTCTCGCTGGCGCGGCTCTATGGCTCGTGGCGCAACGGGCTGTGCGGCAGCGGCGGCCGGGTGGCGGACGCCAACGGCGACTGTAGCTGCGGCGGCGAGAACTCGCGCTGCGTGTCACGGCACCACATCGTGGCGCACGAGGAGCCGCCGCCCGCCTACTGCGACGCGCTCTACTTCCCTGTGCTCATCGTGCACCGCACCGAGGGCTGCGTCGGCACCGAGCCGGCGTCCACGCAGACGCCCTCCCAAACCCTGCAGAGCCGCGGACACAGCATGGAGACGATTCTGTAGCGGGCGCCCAACTCGGCGGGGCGGAGCCGTCGAAGTGAGCACGCGGGAAGGCCGGCGTGACCGCAGCGCTGTGTTCTGTAGCCCGGTCTGCGGAGACGGCGGACAGGGGACCCCATTTAATTCATTCATCGCACCAGGGCCGACGCCACCCACAGCCGAGGCACTGGCCTGAACCCCACTCTGCCGCTCGCCCACCAGAAGCCACCCATGTTTGGGATGATGGAGAGAATCAGCTTGTGGCCGTTACGCCGCGATGCGGCGATGGCTGTCCGACGATACGATAAGCAAGGCAGACTATAACAGCAAAATAGGACCAAATCTTACATGTGTTGTAAATAGCGTTCTTAGATTTCGTACTGGGTCCATGGCACACAGCGCAGCTCCACATTGCGATACAGAACACGTTCGCCTTTACATCGGGTGGTGCCTCTCTCTCGGCAGCAAGATGAACACGAGGTGCCAGCGACTGATGTTGATCTTGGAACCGAATGGACGTCGTGAATGACACACACACACAAAGATGTTTACTTGAGTTTTATGACGATGTTGCTATATACTAGTTACAAAAAAAAATTTGAACCTGTTTTTTTTTTACATTACTTTATAAAAAAAAATGTATTATTGCACACACCACGGTTTCAAATGAATTCCACTCGTGCACTACGTTGTACGCAGAACGTGCTCGTGCACACCGCTAAGAAGAGCGAGGAACCGCGAGAGGGTTCACGACGTAGAAGAGTGCAACGATGGGATGCTGCATCATCAGTGGGGTCAGCGGAAGTGCGTTTGGGTATAATCTGAGGGGCATTTATCGAGCGATGGTATGTCACGTTTAGAATGATTGCCCCCTAAAAGCATGATTACACGTCTTTGTACTCCTGATATCTATTGACGAATTTATCAGTAGCTTGAATTTAAAATATACTCACCAATTAACGAAGAGTAAAGAACATGCTGTATGTTAAGACTTATGGGATATCGTTATAGCAAGGCTCACGTAAGTCAAAGTGCTTTTTCCTATATAATAAATTCACAGCACATGAAAATGGATATGTATATGTCATTGACAACTTTGATTTGATGCATTTTTCCTTCACATATTTTGTAATACTGTGTCGACGTTTAATTAAAATTTATACAGTACAAATTTTTCTTTAAACCAATTTTAAGATGTGTAATATCATCACTTTTCCCCCTGAAATATGACTATTTTAACATTCAACAAATTACAATTCCCAAATTAATACTGAAGAACCAGCTAGCGGTGTTTGGACGCATGTTGAGTTGCAGTTCAAATTATTCTGGACACCCGTGTGCAGACAAACGGGACAACCATTGCCGTGGCAAAAAATTAACTGCTCTGGTCTGCCGTTTGGCTGTTTTCCATAAATATGTCATGCTTCGCGCGTGATTTATGTTGTCATAGTAAGCTGTCTATAGTGAGAAACTGGCACATCGGGACATACGTTTAACTGTTAACGCGTCGCCGTCAATCGGTATGTATCACGTGACACATGGGCTTTTGGGAGTCAGGAGTGCCTCGTCATGGAATAATGCTTTGGGAAGTCGGAGTGGGGATCGGAAGAGCGGATATTAACATAGCATCATCTGGGAATTTTGTGAAATTCAATAAGTGATTTAAAATATGAACCGCATTATGAAGGTGATGTATTTCGGGGTCAATATGTGTACAATGGGTCAATGTATTGAGCTAAATGAACAATTATAAATAGTAAAAGGCATGGAACAAGCAAAAGGAGTATAAACATAGCGGCAGACGTCCACGCAGGTTGCCGCTAACCGCACCGCTGCAAAGTGGCACAAGAAACGAGACGACGCATTTCTAGCGATAACGGCACGCGCACAATTTATTGCGTTAAAACGAGGAAAGAACCCAAGGTAACTGATGTTTATTCTATTACATAGAAACACAAATGTGTCGTGTTTAAGCGCGCGTGTGTGTTACGTAAAGCGAAAGAATAATTCCGCCTTAGCTAGTGACCTTTGTTGTTATTTAGTTGCTTATAAGTTAATGTGAATTCGGTGGAAAAAAAAGGTGTGAAAAACCCACAGTACTTTGTTCTTGATGAACTGTGACGTTTGCTAATCAAGTTTATCAAAAGTGCATGCAATCAGAACTCAAAGTCAGTCGATGGCAAATTCCAGGCCAAGGTTTTGCGAGGCACCTGTATGTAAATGTCGTTTGTTTGACCAGACGATGGTCCGTGGAGTTGGATGCCGCTATCATTAACTTAACATAACCATTCCAAAGCTCTGTGGCCATAGAGCGACAAAATGTTGAAGAGGAGATTAAACACTGTCTTTAGATGTTGTGTTTATTATGTCTGTGTGTGTGAAATTAACTGCACATGAGTGACACTGTATTTTTTATTGTTATGCTTGTTTACCCAGCGAAGCCTCACTGAACCTGAATACTTTTTCAGGAGTATCCTGCCGAGTTTTCATAGTAGGTGGCGATGATGCTGCTCTGTATAATTCCAATTGAATAATTTTCAGGTAATTTTTTCAGCATTGCGATGTTTTGGCCAATAACCGTTACATTGTGTGATAATTTTAGCTATGGGAAAGAAAAAAACAACAACGGAGAACCCAGACGAAATCCATGCAGAACGGTCGGAGAATATACAAACTCCTTGCAGAAGGGCACCCACGTTAGGAGTCGAACCCAGGCTCTGCTTGCTGTAAAGCACTAGTGTTACCATCGCGCCACCGTAACTTGAGATAGTGCAGCCGATGTAGTGTTGCTGTGTGGTGTAACAAACTGCAGACTCCGGTATTTCCAGCCACGTGGCTTTCATCCAAAAATCTCATCCGAGGACGCAATTTTGTGCTGAGCCGTGGCTGTTTGTGTACCTCTCTCAGCACCAGGATGCACTTTATCGTATGAGACGTCTGTTAGTAATTGAGACCGCTCAATGCGCACTCTGTATCTGTGGTTAATTTATCGTTTGGCAGCTGTGGAGATGCATGTATCACTCACATCTCAGGACACTGGTATCCACAATTCACAGTCCAACTTAATGTCAAATGCGGTCATGTACGTAAAATGTGTAAAGTTATTTAATTTTGAATATTACTGATATGGGCAATAAAAACAAATCAAAGTATTCGGTTGTCAATCTATTATTATTTTGCTTATGTAGTTTGTCATCTAAAAGGTAAATTATGGGGTTAAAAAAAAGTGTGTTACAAATCTGAATTGTAGTCTATCTGTTGCAGCTCTCATTATCGGTGCGTGAATTCAAGATGGATATTCCGTCTCTCCCTGTGTACTGGCATCGCATATGGACCAGTGGCATGCCTGTTCAGTGTGTAGGCGGTGCAACTGCAGCGGGGCCGGTGGGCCTGAGGGTCCCAGTTAGTGGGCAATGAAGAGGGGTCATACATTGGACAAAGAGAGGAGGGGGGGGGGGTGCATTAACATTTTCGCACCACACTCCTCTACCACTGCTGTGAATGACCTCACCAGTCGTCATTTGCCAGTTAATGTTTAAAACACGTTCACTCCAGCAACCCGTCAACGCGTTATTTAGTGTCATAGTTCTCAACAAGATGAGATTCATAATTATACGAGACTAATGCCAAGCAATTGCCACAGAGGGGGGTTCTGCATTGGCAAGGAAGTTGGAGCACCCAGAGAAGACCCGTGTATGGACACGAGAGGGTGACACTCAACACTGCCATCTCCTGGCCACCTTGTACCCCAGTCGTACAACACTTGGCAAGCCGTGGTGGCGGTCACCCATCCAAGGACCAATAAATACAATTCTAGATTTGAAGCTTTCGTTACTGCAAGGATTCATACTCTTAGGTTTTTTCGGTAAAGTCACGTCGGTAAAAAATAAAATTATTAAATGATTTATTATTTTCTTTTAAATAAAAGTAAAATAAAGAAGTGATTTATTATTTTATTTATATTATTGCTTTTATTAATTTTAATTTAATTTTTTACCTACGTGACTTTACCAAAAAAAACTAAGAGTAATAACTACAAAGCTGCTTAGCTTCTGAGAACTAACGAAGTCAGGGGCGTTCAGTGTATTGTATTCACAATCAACAGGTATTGGTACAGTCGCTCACTCATCATCGGCAGTCAATCGCCTCCTTAGGGGCCGTCCATAAATGACGTCACGAGATTTTGGACGATTTTTGACCCCCCCTCCCCCCTCGTCACACGGCGTCACAAAAGTCAGACCACCCCTCAAATATGACGTTACAAAGCTCTGCCCACCCCCCCCCCAAAACCATATTTCCATTTTGAAAATAAAACATGCTTCAAATCGCTTTAAACTATTGTCATTGTAGGAGAAAACATTTATCAAAAAGTCTATTTAATTAAATAGAACGTGTTGTCTATATTTACTTAAAGTTGCGCATTTTGATGTGACGTCACATTTCCCAACCCCCCTCCCTCGTCACACATCGTCACAAATATCTGACCCCCCCCCCCCCTAGGTGCGTGACGTCCTTTATGGACGGCGCCTTTGACCATACTTCACCACTTTGGTTGATTCGCGTCTGAAAAGACGCCTGGTGGGGGAGGGGGGGATGAGACGGAGCGATTCAAGCAGCTTTTGTGCAGGTGCTAGCTTGGATTGATGCATCGCATCACCGTGGCAGGTCGAGGCCTTCATCCAACAGTGGATGGAGCACTGCTGCTGCTGCAGCTGCTGCTGCTGATGACTTTGCACGGTCATCACACTGGCATTGTCTCCGCATCATCAAAGGTTTGTACACGAGGCCATCCAGATATACAAACACAACTTCAACCGTGATGATGGGTACAAATTGAGCAATCATTTGGAAAGATGTTATTAACCACGTAAAAAAAAGATTTAACTACGCATATTTGTACCATCTTATTTGACAGGTACTATTCTACTTTACCGAGTGTTGACATCCCCAGCGTTTAACAGTGCTGCTTTTTAAATCCTTTATATTAAGTTCGCTTGCTTTCTTACGACCGTGCAAATCTTTCGGTCGTTTTTTAACCCACTTCCCGTGATCCAATCGAGCTGA